TGGCTCAGCAGTTACTATAAGAGCACTTTCTGCTCTTGCAGAGGACCTGATTTGATTCCCAGCCCCCAATGGCTGCTAACAACCGTCTGTAACTCCAGCTTCAGCCCCCTCCTCTAGCTTCCACGAGCACTGCATGCACATGTGCACAGACATACATGCAAGCAAAACATTCAAGCAAATAAAACAGAAATGAATACATACTTAAGGTTTAGTTAATTATTTTATTACTATTATGGGTAATAAAGTCACCAAATAGCAATCACTAACCTAGGTGCATATTCTTCTGTGCTGAACTCATCTTTCTGTGTTCTTGGAAATTTAATTTTTTTCCAATATTACAAAAATACTCAGGCCAAGAATCTAAAAGTTCATATCAACAATAATTTTCTCATACCCTTTTGTATATTTGGCTGCTTCAAGAACTGCCAAATTCCTCTTGATATTTGTAATATGACAATTATTCTTAGACAATCCTGAAATCTGGCAGTGGAATGAATTCTTTTAAATATTAAGAGATACAAGGAAACTATAAATGTGAAGTTATTCTCATAGCTAAGCTTAAGTTTCTCCCAGTTATTTCAGAGCTCAAGTATTTTTTCAGAAACTTCACATTAAGCACTAAAATATGTATGAATTGGAGACCAAATAGCATTCCCTCCCTGAAAAAAAAAAAAGGAAATCAAAGAAAAGGAAGACAGTAAACTTCTTTTTTTTTTAATTTATGACTTATTTATCTTTATTTTATGTGCATAGGTGTGAAGGTGTCAGATGCCCTGGAACTGGATTTTCAGACAGTTGTGAGCTGCCATGTGGGTGCTGGGAATTGAACCTGGGTCCTCTGGAAGAGCAGTCAATGCTCTTAACCGCTGAGCCATTTCTCCAGCCCGACAGTAAACTTCTTAATACACTTATTATCCAAGCCAATATATTGATAATAAACTCAAGACTTAGCTTATTTAAATCCTAATTTTTGGCTCATCGGTAATTTCCTTGCTCAAAGTGTTATGTTGCCTCTAGATAATGAAGTGTGGTGAAGTGCACTGTGTGAGAGTTGAGCTCTTTGGTTAACAGGTAAATGCAGAATTCTCAAAGTAGCTGTGGGTGATAGCTGTGGGTACATTGGTGTTACAGCATCAAAATCATTACCAACATAGGTAGTGCAGAAAACAGTGGCCACTTTTGCATCAATAGCATACTTGTTTTCTAATAAATGTGCTAAAGTTGTTGCACAGTTTTATTATAGACGAGATAGACCACACTACTTAAATAAGCTGAAACTATTTGCTGGTGAAGGCCTGGATGGCTGTAAGTAGCTGTAAATGACGGCGAGAACACCAGCTCTAAGACTACAGTAAGATGACTGAGGAAGGATGATCAGAGAATCTTTTGATCTCCAGAGTCTTAGCAGAACTGAACTGGTTTACAAAAAAATCAGTAAAACCCAGATTTTGCCACTTTTGGCTATGTCCTTCCCTCCCTTCCTTCTCTGAACTGTCTACTTCAGATGGAGCCATGGTGAAGGCGTGGATCTTCAGGGAAGATGCTGTAAAAAAGTATGGACAAGGTTCTTAGTCACTGGCAGTCATCCGGACAGCTTGTTAAAACACTGAATTTTAGCAACCACTCCCAGAGGTTTTTCATACAAGAATTTGCATTTTTGACCAGTTACCGGGTGATACCAACACTGCTGGTCCAGATGCCTTAGTCTGAGAGCCACTGTACCAGAGGAAGGTACATTCTGATACAGAGGATACGAAAGTGTGTTAAGCCATTTTTAGAAGCTAGAACAGCTATTTTGATTTCTCAGTTTAAAGTCTGAGAGTTACATTAGGGAGACACCTTGTGGAGTTCAGTGCCTAGGATATTGTCTAATAATCTGCTTTTCAGGCAGTCATAATGAATAGTAAACAAATAACACTAATGCTTAAAATGAAGATGACTGATTATGATACCAGACCAGGAAATTCCACCAGCCATTGGAAAGATTATTATCGATATACAGAAGAGTATAAATTAACACAAGGACAAAGTGATTTTGCTTCACTGTATAAATTATTAGACTTACTAAGCATGGCTGGCAAGGCCACACATATCTAGCCTTGTGCTATTGCTGCTCTCTCTTCTCTCTTGAGATGCTCCTCTTCCCACTCTGTGCTGCCCGTGTCCACATCCCCACCCTTAATGCTCTGTTAAGCCGGTGTGCTTCACTCATGAAACTGTTGTGTTTGCGTGGGATGCCGTTCCTCACTCTTGTGCTCCTGGTCATTTATTTGCTGCTTGCCATGTAGAATTGCTCCGGGAGCCTCTCCGTAGAGTCCAGTGCTCTCGTCTGTGTATTTCATAGCATTCTGCTTAGCCCTGTTGTGTATGACACTGAACTCACTTATAGACCAGGCTGACTCCCAAGAACTGAGATTAAAGGAATGCACCACAACCACCTGGCAGGATCTCTTTCTTGCTGTTTTCCTGCAGGTGGAAATCAGGTTGAATGAAGTGCCAGAGTCAAAGGCCTGTTCCACCACCTCCCAGCCCTGGCTGTGTCAATCAATCATATCAAATCTACCCATCTATACAAAGTAACTTAGTCTTTTATCTTTGGATTTTTAACACAGAATAGGTCCCTGGAACACAGTAGATATTTAGTATATGTTTATTAGATAATTTAACCAGTCATTTGGGAACTGTCATCACCAGTACAGTCTAATGATGGAGACTCAGTTCTGAATCTACGTCATGACTCTCTAGAGTGAGAGGTGCCCTCTGAGTCCCTGAAGGGGTCAGAACATGCATCTGTTCAGCAAGAAGCACAACTCAGGGGCTGAAGAAACAGATTTTATCAGCATAAGGGGAAGTTCTTAACTCTTCTTTCTTAGCGTATTGTTTTAATTTCTGATACCACATATAAAGGAATTAAAAAGGCAAAGATTTTTGTTTATTTTTAAGTCTTAAAAAGAAAACATGAAATTTCAATCTTTATTTGGCCTCCCTCTAAAACTCTTGCTGTTTAACCCTTCTTCCCTGCTTTCTCAATTGTCTGTTCCGCAGGTTCAGTTTTTACTAGGCCTCTCCAGTTAGATACTGCACGAGACCCATTCCCCAGGTTCAGTTAGATATTGTACTAGAGCTCTCCCCCAGGTTCAGTTAGGCATTCTACAAGACAGCAAGGCTTGCAGTGTTGCTTAGCACTCAAGTAAGCGTTCAGCCTGAAATATACAATAGTAATAACAATTTAGTATTAGTTTTGGTAAAATTAAATTTTATATAGTAATCAAAATTTGGCAGTGTACCTTTGAAGAGTTTACAGTTTGTCAAAATAACAACATGCCATATGAGAACTGAGGTGGCAGTGATTTCTAGTGGTAAAGAATTGAGAAACCAAAAGAATAAGAAATCAGAAAAGAATTCTTGTTTTCCTCCCGCCTATTCATGCATATTTGAAAATAAACCTCGGTAGCCCCCAAAGGCTTTTACTTTCAGACCAGGGGGCTTTACCTGCCCATTTTCATTATCAGTCTTACCTTCTCCTTCCACTTTATTCTTGAAATACAATCTTTTATGCTTCCCAGAGAATTCTCTTTGTGTTGAATCAGGATCATGACTAGTGTAAGTTATGCTGTAGCTTTATGAAAATAAACACATTTAAAATGATATTGATAAGCCAGATTTCTTAAGCATATGATTAATGAGTTTAAAGTATTATATCTATCACAATATTGTCTGTATGTCTACCTGCCTGCTTGCCTGCCTATGTATGTATGTATGTGTCTAATTTAAGAAGTAAATAAAAACTTTTATTTATAAATGAAAATAGAGTATAAATAGTTTTAGATAACTTTGATAGCCTGCTGTCTTGGTTAAGGTTTGTATTGCTGTAGAGAAGACACCATGACCATAGCATCGCTTATAAAAGAAAATATTTAATTGTGGCTTGCTTACAGTTTAGAGGTTTAGACCATTATTATCGTGGCAGGAATCATGTAGGCAAACATGGTGCTGGAGAAGTAGCTGTGAGTCCTATATCTTATGTGGGCAAGCAGGAAGTGGTCTATCTCACTGGGCGTGACTTGAGCTTGTATGAGACCTCAAAGCCTGCCTCCTCAGCAACACACTTCTTCCAACAAGGCCACACCTTCAACAGGGTCATACCTCCTAATAGTACCACTGTCTTTGGGGGCCATTTTCTTTCAGATCACCACAGCTGCCGTCTAGCATTGTGCCAAGGCTAATGATGTCCTTGAGCACGAGAAGAGAACAACAGTTCTTATTTCATTGGAAGTATTTGCCCATTGAGAACATTTTCTACTTCAATTACTTGCATTTAAAATTTGTTTATATGTACTTACATGAGTTTCTATTCATATGTATTAGCTTTCTGTTACTGTAATAAATACTTGAAATAAATCAACTTAAAAAGCAGAAAGATTTATTTGGTTGTTGATTTCAGAGGTTTTAGTCCATGGTCTCTTGACTCAGTTGCTTTGAGCTTGTAGTGACACAGTATATAATCAGGAACATGTCATGAAAGAAGTCTGCTCACCTCAGAGTTGCTGAAAAGTGAGAGAGAAGGGCATAGGAGGGGCTAGGTTCCCAGCATCCGCTTCAAAAGCATGACTCAGTGTTCTGACTTCATCCAGTAGACCCTACCTCCTAATGGTTCCACCACGTCCCGATGGATACAAGCCTTCAATGTATAAGTCTTTGGAAAGAAGCTCTGAATATAAACTACAGCAATTTATATAATGTAGTTGTAGGGTTTTAAAAGCAAGTAAAACACTGCATTTGCTTAATTGGGTTATAAATATGGGTTTTTATACTTAAAAAATTATTTTTAAATTGTGGCTATGTACGAGATGCCAGGCCTAAAGGACATCTAGGCCTTGATTTTTTTTGCTATACATATGAATCTATCAGGCAGATCTTGCATGCTTTCTAGCTACATGTAGCTTTGTGTGTGCCATTTTAATTTCTACTACTGGTTCATTTGTTGTTTTTGTTTTTAGCATGTTGGAGCAGGATTCCAGGAGAGTGAAGCCCAGCATGAATCCTGCAAGCCAAAGGAGGCATCTTTTAGAATTTTCTGCTAAAGAAGTTCAAGACCCATCAGATGGTGTCAACCAGAAAAACAGCTACAGGTGGGATGGCCCATTGGCCTTGTTGATTTAATGAACTGGAGAAGTCTTACCCGTTGTCACTTGACATGTAAATAGTTCATATAGGCTTTGGGTAGTGGAGCAAGTGAAATAGTGATGCCATTAATTTGTTTTATTTTTATTTTTTAAAAATAAAAAAGATTTATTTACCATGTATACAGTATCTGTCTGCATGTATGCCTGCTGCCAGAAGAGGATGCTGTATCTCATTACAGATGTTTGTAAGCTACCATGTGGTTGCTGGGAATTGAACTCAGGACTTCTGGAAGAGCAGCCAGTGCTTTTAACCCCTGAACCATCTCTCCAGCTCCAATTTGTTTTATTTTTAAGATCAATTTTAAGAATAGATTTACTTCGAAACATTTTCTAGTTTAGGATTTTTGTTGACATGTGATCAGATAATTTGTTTGTCTTGACATACATATATATTAGAATACATGTACTAGCTTTAGTTTTTTCACCCTATTATGGTTTAGTACATTTAACTAATATTTATGCCTTGAGTATATATGACGGAATGATATGGTTAAAGCTATTTGTAGTCATTAAGTAAAATTATTATTTGTTGTGTTTTCTGACTCCTTTTCTTTTTATAATTTAACAGATACTATGGTAAATTTCCGTTTTGCTTAATGTTAAAGTCAAAGGTATACATGAAAACATAATTCCCATAGTATGTTAATTAGAAGAAGGTACAGTTTTTAGAGCTATCCTTTTTCATAAATATTGCCCTGTGTGTTTTGGGATTCTTGTTAGACAAAAGCCAGAATCTGGAACAGCAGGCAGAGAGGTTGGAGTACAGCAGCCGTCGCAGTATAATGAAACGCTTGAAAATTACACAGACCTGCTTGCCCTGAGCTCTCTGCAGTTTCACAAGGCAAGAGGCCACAGAGGAATCATTCTTCTGTGTCCTTTCCTCTTGTGGTTGAGGGAGGAGCCGAGGATCTTATAGCAGTGCAGCATAGCAGAGGATAGATGGCGTGATATTAGAAAACATTACATATTGTTTTATGCTATTTTTTTACATGTTAAAAATGGTCACATTTCTGAATTACTGACATTGGTAGTCACAGTGTCCCTTATACTGGTAGAATTTATTAGTTTTTTTGTTTTTCCAAAATTGGCCCAGGTTTACCCTTCATGTTCTGTAATTCTGAGTGCTATGGTTGTCCACAGAGCTCTGTTTGAAGGAAGCCTTTGGACTTAGTGGTGTTTGATCAAATATGGTTCATTGCTAAAAATAAGAACTAATTATTGATTTTGTACTTGAAGCCATACTTTGTTTAAGTAACCTTTATGGGAATATTCTTTATTCTAAAATAACTGTAATAAAGAGAAGCCTTCATGTATGTGTTCACATTAGCATGAGATGAAAACGCTGACTCCGGAAAGGGTAGTGGCCAGTTCATGTACATTCACTGGAGAGGTCTAGGCAACTTTCACGGTGAAATTTATCACCCTGAAGAAATTCATAACTCATTGAGATGAGTACATGAAAGTACTTGAAATATGTAAACCATCTCTGTGTCTCCTGCCCAGAGTCACCAATGGTTGTGTGTATCTGAGCTACTGGTCTCGGTAAAAGTAGATAATCGCTTCTTAGCGATCTGCAGGTCTGAAGCTTATTATAGGAGATTTAAGCAAATATTAGCCCATTAGTTTGGAGTTTTTGCTATTATCATTGATAATAGTAATAGCAGTACGGAATACAAAAATTTTAAAAATTATTTGTGAAACATTTGAAAATTCCAAGATGAATTTGTCCTGAGCTGGATTTTAGATATTTATATTGCTGTCAGGACACCTATATGCATTTTTTTTGAGAAAAAGATTAAATTTAATTTTTAAACTGCTACTGTTGTACTAGTTTCCTATCTTTTAAAAGTATTTAAGCATTTTAATTGACATTGAATTTTAATCAGGCATGTTTATAGACTGTGCTGTGCCTACCATTTTGATGTTTATAATGTATAGTAATTGGACCAGAGTAATTAGTGTATTCATCATCTGAAACAGATATCCATTTTTTCCTTATGTTGAGATCATTCAAACTCTTCTGTACTAAATATGTTAAAATATTTGAGGCATTGTGGTCAACCATAGCTAGTCTTCTGTGCTGCAGGACACTTAAAGTGATCTGTCTTATCCAGTCACACTCTGGCACCCATCAACGACTCTCCTTTCATGTCCCTCTCTCCCCCTTGTCTTCTTAGACTCCGATATACATGATTGTATTTTATCCTCTGTGATAGCAGATTTCTAGCTTCCTCACATAAGTGAGAAAATGTGGTATTTTTTTGTACCTTATTTCCCTTGTTGCATTGTCCTGTAATTCTATCCATGTTGGTGAAAATGGCAAAATTTCAGTCAGTTTTATGAATGAGTATTATTTTAGTATCTGTGTTTTCTTTATTCTTCCATCAGTGGACACTTAGATTAATTTCCATATCTTGGCTATTGTGACTAATACTGCAGTAAACATGGTCATGCAGGTAGATGTCTTTTTGACATGAATTTTGATTCTTTGAATTGAAATAGTGGCGTTTCCAGTTCTCTAAGGAACTTGTACACCGTTTTCACAGTGGCTGCACTCAGTTTCATTCCCACCAACAGTGTTTGAGTCGTCCCTTTCCTCATACTTTGCCGTTCTTTGTTTTATGAAACTAGCTGTTCTAATTAGCATGAGATGGCGTCTCATTGTGGTGTTGATTTGCATTTTCATGACTGGGGGTGGTTGAGAGTGTGTGTGTGTGTGTGTGTGTGTGTGTTTCTTGAGAGGTAGCACTTCAGATCATTCATCCATTTAAAAAATAGATTAAGGTTTTTTTTTGCTGTTGAGTTATGTGAGTAGCTTATTTTTGTTTCTTTTGTTTTGAGACACAGTTTTGTTCCCAGAAGTTCCCAGGGTAACCTGGAACTTGCTGTATAACCCAGAATGTTAAGACTTTAGTCATGAACCACTATGGTCACTTGAGTTCTTCATACCTTTCTTACTGGATCAATAATATGCTGGTATTTTCTCTTAATCAAGTTCTTCACTCTGTTTACTATACAAAAGTTTTTAATTTTATGTAATTTCATTTAAATTTTACTTTTGTTGTCTGTGTTTTAGGGTCATAAAAATCTTTGTTCAGATCAATATCTTGAAGCATGTCCTTTTTTCTTCTGTATTTATGTTTTTGATCTTTTTTGAGTTTAGAATGTGTGTGTGAAAAAAAAGAATGTGTATGTGTGTGTGTGTGTGTGTGTGTGTGTTGATCTGTACAGGAATAGTTTCTTTTTACTGAACATAGTTATCCAGTTTTCCTGATTCTGTTCATTGAAAAGATTTCTGACATGTTTTTGCTGTCTTTGGGAAAGTTTACTTGTCTATGAATATATGAATTTATTTCTGAGTTCTATGTTCTATTCTAATAGTTTATTTTTTTCCCTCATATCATGCTATTCTGGTTCGATAACATTGATTTTTTTTCTTTTAAAATAGAATCTCATGTAGTCCATGCTGGTCTCAAACTCACTGTATAGCTGAGGCAGATCTGGAGCTTCTACCTAATTGCTTTAGCTATTTGGAATCTTTTATAGTTCTGTACAAAATTATAGGAATATGTTTTTATTTCTATGTCAAATGTTATTTGTACTTTGATAGAGGACTGGAGAGATAGCTCACTTGGTAGAGTACTTACCTTGTATTATGGTAAGAATTACATGGATCTGTAGACCACTTTGGGTAGTATGTGTATTTTAACAATGTTAATTAGATAGTTCATGAACATGGGATTTCCTTCCATGAATTCCTCTACTAGTGTGCCTGATGAGTTTCATTGCAGATTATCCATTCCCTTTACCAAATTTGTTCTTAGATATTTGTTCTAGCAGCTGTGAATAGGTTATTTTATTTCCTTCACAGTAGCTGCAGTTTTCATAGTCATGGACCTCATGCAAGCAAGGCAGTCATTCTGCCACTGAACTGCACCCTCTAACCTCAAAACTGCTAATTTTATATCCTACATTCTTACTGAACTTGATTTTGTGGAGTCGAAAGTTTTCTCTATAAAATCCTGTTGTCTGTGAAAAAGGATTGTTTGACTTCCTCCTCTTCTTCTTCTTCTTCTTCTTCTTCTTCTTCTTCTTCTTCTTCTTCTTCTTCTTCTTCTTCTTCTTCTTCTTCTT